AGTAAAAAACAAAAAAACAAACAAAAAAGGAAATATAAAAAATATAAAAAATTTAAACAAAAACATTTCTGGAACACTGTGCTTTACCATGAAAGGCCTGCCTTCTCCAGGTCTCGTTTGACCCAGGCAGGGTTGATGCGGACAGAATCGTTGTCGTCTGCCACATCCAGCGAGCTGTAGATTACTGCACAGTCGGTGCTCAGACCTTGGCTCAGCTGCTGCATGATGGCCAGAGAGCTCTGGAGGTGAGCGTCAAAGTCACTGGCGCTGTCTGTCGGCATGATTTCTGTGTGAGGGGAGGGAGAGGGATGGAGAGAAAGGACATAAATCGAGATGGCTAAAGTGGGGAAGTGTGGTGGGGGAGGAGGGGGGGGATAGATAGATAGAGTCATGATGGAGAAAGACCTTTGGAGGTGAGCGTCGAAGTCACTGCCACTGTCCGTCGGCATGATTTTTGTGTGAGGAGAGGGAGAGGAGAAAGAGAGAAAGAACATAAGTCAAGATGGCTAAAGTGGGGAAGTGTGGCAGGGGAGGGGGGGGTAGGGAGAAAAGATGTAAGTCATGATGGCCAGAGAGCTTTGGAGGTGAGCGTCGAAGTCGCTGGCGCTGTCTGTTGGCATGATTTCTGTGTGAGGGGAGGAAGGCTAGAAAGAAAAAGATGGCCAAAGTGAGGAAGGGTGGGGGAACGGGGGAGATTGAGAGAATGAATGAGAGAATGAACTAAAGTCATGATGGCCAGGGAGCTCTGGAAGTGAGCATCAAAGTCACTAGTACTCTGTATAAGCGGAGCCAGAAATATAGTACTAAAGTCTTAGCATAAAAGTCACTATCACTAGCAATGTCTGTGGGCATGAACTTTATTCGAGGTGGGGGAGGGGGTTCTGGAGGTGAGCATCAAAGTCACTGGGTGGCACTGTCTATCAGCATGATGTCTCTTCAGGGGAAGGAAAGATAAGGTATGAGGGAGGGGGGGGGGAGGGTGTAGAGACAGAAGAAAAGAACAAGAGAGAAAGAGGCACCTTCCAAATAAGCAGCTTGAGTCTAATAGGCGCTTTAGTGATACACAAAACTAGACCTTACCGAATAACTGCGCCATGGAGATGGTATGGAAGTACTTTCGACACTGCAGGAACGGCGCACGGTGTTCTCGAGCACGACGGACCAGGCTGCCCTCAAACAGACTAGGCTCCAAAGTACCCTGAGAGTCAAACAAGAGCAAATTGTCGCGGTCATTCCTTAGTGTTGTATCGCTACCTCAGATCCCAAGATCTAGAATGCTTTGGCGAGTACTTTAAGAGAGATCAAATCCTTTGATTCATTCAAATGTCAGCTGATGTATTTCTGTTTTTAAATTAATAAGTTGAAAATTTTGAGTGATTTTCATTTGGTCAGAACACAACATTTTTTGCTACTGTTGTACATTGTAATGTATTGTAAAGCGTTCAGAGCCTGTGTATTTTAATTGGGGTTAAGCGCTATAAATGTCATTTATTATTATTAATTACAAAGTTCTATCTGACGTTTCTGGTCGTTTTGAGTTAATAAGCTGACCACGAGGTCAGAAACCAAGTGTTCTATCTACTCTATCAAAATCCTACAATTGTTCTGAGTCGTAGAAACATATTTTACATACTATTCCAAGTTTTTTTTCTCAGAAAAATTGTATGTAAAATCATTTAGACCACAGATTAACAGTACCACATAAGCAGACATACATATTAATTATCATACTATATTGCTTCACAGACTACTGTCCTCATCAAGCGTCACTGATATTATTACCTCCTTCATGATGCAGTCCGGGCAGGGAAGCAGGAAGTCGTAGATGACACCGTGGAATGACTCCTGGATGAGGGACTCGAAGATTTCATGGATGAGCAAGACGACGTTCTCGGGCCGGGGTCCTTGAACTTTGACCAGCAGCTCTGAGTCACTGGGAGGGACGACCAGACAAAAGTTTCATCAGATATTTCAATCCTGGTTCATCCTTTATGCGAAATGCATCATCATTGGGTGATCCATGAACAGTTTTTCTTCAAAGTGATGAAAATAAAATAAATATTGAGATTTGGATATCAAGGATTGGTTGTTTAGTGAGAGTTTTACAGCACATGTAATTGAATAAGGTCATATGAGCGTGTAGGACTCCAGTTGGTTGTTTTCACATTAGTTCCCTGCATGACCAGATTCTACTTCTTCAAGTCTGAAAGGTTGAAGTAGTTAAAAAGTCACTGTATTAAAACAAAAGGAGGAAACATTTAGCATTTTCTAAAGTGTCCAAAAGCTTTGCCTTTTGGACTTCATAAGGGACATGATTAAACAAATTGGAACTAATAATGGAGTATATAGCCAAAGCAAAATAAAATAAACCCAAAAAACATTTTTGCCTAATTTGTACCATGAGCCCTTTTTGACGCAAAGCTTGATATATTTTAAGTCTTTATTCTATGACATTCCCTGTAGCTGACCTTGTCTGCTGTATCAGAGCCAGATGTTTGTTCTTGTTGAGCAGAGAGCCTCGCTTCCAGATGAATTTACCGTCCGAGAACTGGAACAGACGAACCTACAGACAAAAACTTTGCGTTAGCAAAAAGTGAATTACAAAGCAAACCAAATCTTGTACTAGTCTTAATTTTAGAGAGAGTTTTGTGGCACTTGGAACACAAATAGGTTACATTAGTGCCAAAGATTAGAGGAGTTCCTAGAGAGAAACATACAAAGAAAAGAAAGAGGAGAGAAAAGAATGACTTTTGACATAATAATATGTTTGATAGGAAAGAAGGAGCAAACCACAGCAGATCACCTGCTAACCGCCCACGATGGTTTTCGTTACAGAGCAAAAAAACATCTAGATTTATGAGATTTGTTTTAGTAGAGGTCTTACGGCGCTTGCAACTGCATAAGGTAATATGAGCGCCAGAAGATTAGAGGTGTTACAAGAGAGTAACAAACATGAAAAAAAAAGGAGGGGAGATAAGGACGATAGTTGTTTGATAGGAAAGAAGAAGCAAACCACACCAGAGCACTCGCCAACCACCCACAGGTTTATGAGAGCTTATAACACAGAAGAATGATGTCGTCATATACAGGAAAACAGAAGGGAAAAGAAGAAGAAGACTAGTGACTTTAAATGTAGTTTGAAATCATGAACATAATCACAGGAGAGATAAAGCCCTCCATGATAAAAATATACCCTTGAAAGTCGAGTCAATATAAACCGTACAATAAGACTGCCACAGTAAAGTCATGTAGCCCTCTGCCTGGAAAGGTAGCATCCCAGCAATTGACAATATTCTCTGAGATGTGTGAGTGCGTGCGTGTGTGTGTGTGCGTACGTGGGTTGGTGTGTTCATGCGTGCATGTGTATGCTTATATAGGTTTAATAACCCTATTAATCTTTGAGAAGTGCCACTTCTGCAGTTTCTAAATTAAAAGCAGCAAAGACTAGGACTCAAAGTATGCCTTCAGAAACGGAAGACAAGATTAAGTCATAACCCTGAGCATATTGAGGGACTGAATGTTTTACTATCCCACTAACAGGGGTACAAATCCCCCACTTGTCGTGTGCCACATCCTACCAGGCATAAGGCTAGCATATTTTCATCATACCTACTGTGCCTTCTCTCCAGCTGTCTTGAGCTAATCGGTCAATTAAGGGTCTAGTCAAGAACAAAATAAACCCAAGAAGTGCACACAGCCTGGGCTGCCTTTGAAATGAGTAAAAACACTAACTGTATTTATATAGTGCACAACAATGCTCTACAGCTTGCTCTAAGCACTTTATAATTAATATGCACTTTACAATTAATATAACTCCAGTAGACCTTAGGACACTGAGAAAGATTCTTGGCTTTGCATGAAGCATACAGTGCAAACAGCCAATTAAGCGCTCAAATGCTAACAAGCTGGCAAGATCTTTCGCTGTCTTTAACTAAATGTCCATTCCCACATGCGTGTAGAGCGGGAAATTTGTATAAAGTGCCTTTCCCAAGAACACAATATCGATCCCTTGGCGGAGCTTGAACCCATGATCTTTTGATTGCGATCCCAACAGTCTAATCACTAGATCAACGATCAATACTCGGAGGTGTTTAATAGAACTGTAAGGTCACACCAAAAGACGCACAAAAAAATGATTCAGTTACAACTAAGTGGAGGACAAACTTACCTGAGCCCTGTTGAAGAGACCCGCAGGGAGGTAGGTAAACTTGTACACCATCTTCGTCTCTCTCACCACCTTCATATCATCCAGCACAGGCCAGTCCAGCTGAGGACACACACACATGAGTTTTTTTGTCGTGTAAATGTTTAAGTTCCTTACTAGATAGTTTCAAAATTTGCTCTCTCTACACGAAGAGAGTGGGATAAGGGTATGTGATGTGTCCCACCCCCTCAGAACAGCCTAAGGAGAGCTAGAAGCTAGAATAGATGATAAAAGACACAAAAAAATAGATAGCCGCACACGCACTTAACGATACAAACAAACTGGAGGAGGAGGAGGAGGAGGAGGAGGAGGAGGCGGAGGAGGAGGAAGAAGACCAGCGACTAACTTTAAAGGTAGTATGAAATCATGGACAAAATGATAGGGGGATATTGCTTCATATCTAAAAAATCATTGTATTTACTTATAATTATTCTCATAGTCAGCAATTGTCAGATACGTCTATGAATAAAACCATTACTATGGCATCCCTCCAAAAAAGACATGTGAGGAAAAAAATAATGGTCCCTACTGAAGCAATATTTAGATCAGGGCCAGTTTGGACCAACCGTGGCTGCAAAGATACACCCCAAACAAAAGACAGAGACAGTCAATAAAACAAATTCCACACCCATGAATAGATATCGAAGCAAAACCTACGGGAATTCTCAATGACAGCACCGATTTAATTCTAGCAGTTCAGTTCAGTAAAATCTGTGAAATTGATTCTGGCTGATGAGAGTAAAATAACCTTACAGTGTTGAAAGGGGCGATAAACCTACACAAATTGTTGTCAGCTGATGTCATGATTAATTGAGTAATCGACTACACATCCTAGTAAGCAACAAATTTATCACAAATTTTTTTGTTTCAATAAATTTGTCTTTGGCAATTGATTTTGACATCAGCATGACTTAGATTAGTTTTAGTACGTGTTTTACAGTATTTGCAACACAATAAGGTCATATAAGTGCCGAAGATTAGAGGTGGTACAAGAGAGTAACAAACATAAAAAAGAAGGAGGGGAGATAAGGACGATAGATGTTTGATAGGAAAGAAGAAGCAAATCACACCAGAACACCCGCCACCTCCACTGACTTAGACTTAGGTATAAATTCAAAATAATTTTCTTGGCCGGCTGGTATTATTCTGACTCGTGGCTACATGCTGACCTCGGAGGGCACTTCCTGCGGCAGAAGACAAGGCACTATGTTGACGTTTTCCTTGGGGAGCGGGAAGGTCAGGTCAAACTCTTCCGTGAGCTGCAGCAGCCACTGGTGGAGCTCTTCAGGGTAAGAACACCAAATGTCCGGGATGTAGCGGTGCAGAAATCTGCCATGGTGGTCCTGGAGGGAGGTGAGGGCGCAGTGAGTTAGAATGACACACAAGGTGCAGAGCACAGTCCACGTTTAGCAACATTTTAAATCTTCTCAAGCATACTGCAGATTGATCCGTAACTGCCTGGGAACATATTTGGACGTATTGCCGCTATAACAGAAATTCTAAAAGGGTCTTAAGTTTGTTTCGTTATTTCCATTTTAATGCTTTTGTAACATCAGTGAATATCAACATTCAATCACCTTTCCAATGATATGTAACATGCCATTATAATGTTTACTGCAACATCTGTAAAAGCCGTTTTATTTCCATACCGTCAAATTGTTTAGCCGGACTACAAATTAAACACGTCCAAATGCGTTTTTACTGCCAAAAAAAATAATGATCTGAATAATAAGTTAAGGCACATAACGCAGCATACACGTCGTACCTGGATAGGAGAGTTCTTCACCGACACCACGCAGGACATGACGTTGACAATCCACTGTGGGTTGATGACCACTTGCTGCCGCAGGAAGTCGTTGTCAAAGTACTGCACGGTGCCCAGCTCATGCAGGAACTGAATCGCCTCTCGGATCTGATGTGGCAAATGGAAAGGGAAATTGCTATTTGTCAGGCATCGTGATGAAATTAGGCACTCCTCTAAATAATGAAATAGAAGAAAACAGAATTTTTTTTGCTGGTATGGCAATTTTGATTGAATTTTTGTTTTTTTAGCTCAACACCTTTTATGCCCATTAAAAAAACATTTCTGTGTGGATTTTACTGAAAAACATTGATTAAAGGAACACAAAATTTAAAAAAGTAAATTTACAGTTAACAAGAACTCCCTAGCTTTGGAAGACAACAAACTTTAGCAGCTATTTTCTAGCTAATTTTTATTCTGAAGCTAAGTCGCCCCCACCTCTTTCAATCTGAAATATATCGACTTCTACAGCAGACAGATAGACCTTCTTTTTATTAAAAGCAAGACAAACAAACAAGCTTTGAGGTGATACCAATAACTCCATATGCTCAAAAATTGATGAGCGTCTGATTCCACCGCGTCATGACACATTAAAATTTGTGTTTTACATCACCATCCACACATGTTAGATCGCTTAAAAGGTGAGCTGCTTCAACCATGCCTGTCACGGCCAGCCAATGTGAAAAATCAAATGATCTCTAATGGCCCGCCCCTGTTCAAGACAATCCCCTGTACAAGCGACTACTTCCCACATACTGAGCGCATGTGCCCATATGTATGCATAACTCATCAAATTTCTCTTTTTGGCTTTCGATTATAAGATAATTAAAATTGACAATCCCCCCGAAAACAATAATTACCTAATTCATCGTGTAAAGAATCTGTTGGTGTGAGGAGCAGACTTGCATCTCACCTCTGAAGCTAACTTCAAAGCAAACATTTCAGGCAAGTGTTTTTTTAAAGAAAAAAGACATTGTAGCAGAACGATAATTGAAAAAGTTTTTACTTGGAAAATATTTGTTCATATACTTTGAACATCATGGCCCTGAACTGGAAAAGAATAAACTTAGAACAATCAAGCATGAAAGGAAGTGAAAACTTACGTCTTTCTCATCGTAGATTCCGACTTCCATGCCAAAATCCTTGATCACCTTCCAGGGTAGAATGCTCGTCTGTGCTCTCGCCCTGTGTAAAAGAATTCATAGGACAAATTGAGGGTGAACTTTTCCAAAACATAACTTTGTGTGGGGTCATGACAGAAAAGGATGAATCTATCAGGGATACAAGATAAAAGTGTCAAGATTAAAAACATTTGATCTACGGGGAAGGGGGAGGATGCAAAGATAGAAAACAGTGAAATTTAAAAAAAATCTTAGTATGAAATTCTGTTCATCTCTTAAGAGTTACTTGAGAGTAACATAAAAAAAGAAGGAGGACAGATAAGGATAATACAAGTTTTATTGGAAAGAAGGAGTATACCCCACCAGTGCACTCGCCAACCATCCACACTGAAATTCAGCTTTGTCAATTTTGCTCAATAAGACACACCGCTAATTTAGAATTACAAACTTCTATCTGCTCAGTACCTAGTATTGAGAAATTTTACGTAAAAAATTTTGAGGTTCACATCATGTCAAGCCTTTTCTGATGCAATTTTTTGAATATCTTGATAACTACTCCGAATAACTTTACAATTCTGATAGAGCAGATAGAACATTTGGTTTCTGACCTCATGGTCTTAGTAATTCCAAACCGTCCGAAAAAGTCAGATAGAACTTTGTAATTCTAAGGTAGCGACATAGCTACTCACGCCAGGATCTTCTTCTCCATGTTGAGCCAGACCTTGGGGACCTTCTCCCCCATGTTCTTCTGCTCCAAGGTCACACGCAGCAGCTCCTTCTCCAGCTCTTGGATGCCCTGAGGGAGACATGAGGCTTAGTATTAGTTTTAGTAAGAGTTTTACAGTACTTGCACCACAAATAGGACATACAGCCGGCTTCGTTTTTGCTTTAGTAAGAGTTGGTTTTTTTGTAAGTTTTTTTTATGGCACTTTCAACACAATAAGGTCATAAAAGTGCAGAAGATTAGAGGTGTTACAAGAGAGTAACAAACACAAAAAAAGAAGGAGCAGAGATAATGATGATAGATGTTTGATAGGAAAGAAGAAGCAAACCACATCAGAGCACCCTCCAACCACCCTTACAAGAGTTTTAAGGCAACTGCAACCCAAATAGGTAATGTAAGTGCCAAAGATTAGAAGTGTTACTAGAGAGTAACATACACAGAAAAGAAGGAAGAGAGATAGTTTATTTGGAAATATCCTTTTCACACTATATACATACACAAAGATGGAGACACTCAATAAAATAGACTTCCTTTTGCTGGAATCATCAAACTAAGATATTTTTTTAGCATGCAATGGTGAAAATCCTGACCGCAAGCACTGGTTCTTATCACACAGAAATGCAGTCACAATTAATTCTGCTTTGATGAATGGAGAACAAATTGATATCAATCAAGAAAATAAAAATGTCTACAAAACTAAATGCATTAAAACACGGACTGGCCTGGGTACAGAAGAATGTGCAATGGCAGCTTGTGACCGTGAAAGGATGACATCTCTAGGTATTTCAGGTTAAACAAAACATCTCTCTCTCTCTCTTGCCCTTTTTAACTCCCAGTGGAGCATAGGCCATCAACAACAGACCCGTGTATCCTTTTTCAAGCTGTTTCAATGATGTCCCCGTTTTTTCCATTTCCGCTTGTACCGCTCGCCTCCATGTCATCATTGGTCTTCCAAACTAAACATAGCAATGAGAAAAAAACCCCAAAAAACCGCGGACATGTCAACTTACCGTTCCTACCAGGGAACTGACAAAGTGGAAGCCGGCTATCTGAGGATAACGTTCCATCAGGTCCGACTTGGGAATCTCTGCTTTAGGCACCTGGTGAAGAAATCATTCTTGTTGTAGTAGTTTAGCTGTCCCCCAAGGGTTTTTATGCAACCCGCATAATTTACCTAAATTTGACCATTTTTTGCATAATTTCTGACTATTTTCTTTTATCATTCTTTGTTAAAAATTAACAGAATTGCATAATTTCACATTTTTGGGCTCAGTTTGCATAATTTCAGATTTTTTTTTGCATAAAACCGCGGGGACAAGTTTAGTTTCAGTAAGAATTTTATGGCACTTGCAACACAATAAGGGTCATATAAGTGCCGAAGATTAGAGGTGTTACAAGAGAGTAACAAGCACAAAAAAGGAGGAGAGATCAGGATGATTGATGTTTGATAGGAAAGAAGAAGCAAACCACATCGGAGCACCTGCCAACCACCCACGCTTGCAGTTGTTGCTATTGTTGTATTAGTAATTGTTGCTGTTGCTGTTGTTACAATTGCTGTCTTTGTTACAAATTGATTTTTTGTCTCATATACCTTTTCCGGGCGCCATGTTAATGATTTTATTTGTATCAGACAATCATTCACTACAAGAATGTCAGTCAGCAAGTACAATATTTCAATACTAAAATGAAAAAAACCCCAACAGAATATGAATTACAATATTTAGATCTTTTTGTTAGCATTTTATTTTTTAGTTCCATAGTTGGTTTTTTTATTTTCATAGATTTTGTCACCTATTCTAGCTGACTGGGGGGGGGGGGCATGGCCCTTTCCCACTCTCCTCAGTTGCTGCTATTGTTGCAGAAGTAATTGTTGTTGCTGCTGTTATTACAGTTGTAGTAGTTTTTGTTATGGCTGTAACTGTTGTTATAGTTGTTGTTGCTGTGCCTGTTTCAGCAATTGTTGTCATTGTCACAGCTGTTGTTATTTTAGCTGTTTTTTTTTTTTATAGCTGCTGTTACTGTTGTTGCAGTTGCTGTTGCTGTTGTTGTTGTTATATCAGTTGAAACTCTGCACAATTTCAGCCACATTTTGGAAAGGAAAACATCAGAAAGACACACAACACAGTTATTGGCAGTTTCTTGCACAAAGAAGGAGAAGGGGAGGCAGATAAATAGAGACAGCGACAGAGAGAGAGAGAGAGAGAGAGAGAGAGAGAGAGAGAGAGAGAGAGAGAGAGAGAGAGAGAGAGAGAGAAAGAGAGAGAGAGAGAGAGAGAGAGAGTTTTAGTTTTAGTAGAGGTTTTACGGCGCTCGCAACTGCATAGGGTCATATGAGCGCCAGAAGATTAGGTGTTACAAGAGAGTAACAAACATAAAAAAGAAGAAGGGGAGATAAGGACGATAAATGTTCGACAGGAAAGAAGAAGCAAACCACACCAGAGCACCCGCCAACCACCCACTAAAAATACAGAGAGAGAGAGAGAGAGAGAGAGAGAGAGAGAGAGAGAGAGAGACAGACAGAGAGAGACAGACAGACAGACAGACAGACAGACAGACAGACAGACAGACAGACAGACAGAACAGACAGACAGACAGACAAAGAGTGACAGACAGATCTACAAACACAAACTGACCTGGTCACAATGTGTGCCCACCACAAAGATGGGAGTTTTGGGGGCGTGGCTGGCCACAGAACTCAGCCAAAACTCTAAACCAGCGTGTTCGAACCCTTGCCTTGTAGACCACAGCAGGAGATAAACAGCTCTCTTGGACAGGAAAAACTGGAACATCAAAATGATAATAATATAGGCACAGGTAAATCAATACTGAATCTGTTTTGATTGGAATAACTGATAATAATGATAACATTAACAACAAAACCACAATAATAATAATAATAATAATAATAATAATAATAATAATAATAATAGTACTACCACTACTACTACTACTACCACTACTACTACAACTACTACTACTACTACCTACTACTATTACCATTATTACTACTACTACAACTACCTACTACTATTACTAATACTACTACTACTACTACTACTACTACTACTACTACTACAAAAAAAAAACACTCTAAAAAAACCCCGCAATATTGTCTGTAACTTCCAGAAATTCATCAGACAAAGGTCTATTATATTGTTAAAAATCGTACTATTAGTACAAAGAAAACAACAAACCAACCAACACACTGATCTCCCTAATTCGGAAAAGAAGACCAAACTACAATATAACACGGAAAGCTCGAATTCTTCGGGACCGGACTCGGTAGTTCAAGGCATCCGTAGTTCGAGGGAATCTTACAGAGATAAAAAATAAAAAACAGGACTGCAAACAGTTCGACAGATGTGTGATTTTGAGTTTTCTGTGTTCGACCTATCCGTATTATACTTTAAATAGAAAAAAAAAGACTAGAAAAACAGAGGAGGCCCAAGTATTCTCCCATGTAGCCGCACCAAAGGACATCGCAAGAGGGGCAGACGCAAAGTGACCTGGAGACGTATAGTAGAGTCTGAAATGAAGTCCTGGAACCAATTTGCGGGGGTCGTTGACCGAGATGGCCCAAAACAGACAGAGCTGGAGATCATTTGTTGCTGCCCTAAATGCCAGATGGCGTGACGGGTAATAAGCTAAGCTAAGCTGTAGCCGCACCTGGTGAGTGTTGTAGTAAAGCGTTTGTCCAGCGAAGTCCCAGGTGCTGTAGGTGACCTCTATGTCGTCGCTGGTCCGCACGGTCCATGGCTGGATCTGAATGCCGTCAGTGATGTCCTCCGCGCTGGTGCCAGCCGTCTTCTTCTTGCCACTCATCAATGCACGCAGCAGGCTGGGGGGGGGGGGGGGGTCAAAGGTCAGAGGTGAAACAAATTATTTGAGAATAGTTTGGCAGGAAATATTTTCGGGAGAGTATTGTGTGGAAGGCAGGCATTTTGAAAAGAGTGGATATGGGGGGGGAAGGGGGGGGGGGGGGGGAAAAAAAACCGGTGTGGGAGGGCCGGGGGGGGTTGGAATTTTGGGGGGCGAAGGGGGAAAAAAAAAAATTGGGGGGGTGGGGGTGGTAGGGTGGTTGGGGGAGGGGGAGGCTCGTGGGTAGAGGGAGGAGGGTGATAGAGTGGCGGAAGTAGTGAAGGTGGTTGAGAAGGGGAGGGGGGGGGGGCAGCAGGTGCAGGTGCTTACATTACAACGAATCTGGCGGTGTTGATGTTGATGATAATAAAATGAACAAATAATCCTTTATATGTGTAAACAGTAAAAACGACAACGCTCATAATTAGAGCAAGGACGCTGCAAACGATAACAATTCATCTATCATCTCTTAGTTTAGTTTTAGTAAGAGTTTTAATACACTTGCAACACAATAAGGTCATATAAGTTCCAAAGATTAGAGGTTAGCAAGTGAGCAACAAACACAAAAAAAAGTTGGAGGAGAGACAAGCATGACAGATGTTTAATAGGCAAGAAGGAGCGAACCCCACCAGAGCACCCTCCAACCACCCACTCCATCACCTCTTTCACTCATTACATCTCACAACAAACACACGGGAAAAGAAAGAAAGAAAAAAAACCCCTGCGTCATCACTTCACCTGGTCTTTCCTGCACCTCCCAGACCGACAAACATGAGCTTGGTTCGCCTGCACTCTGTGAACCCGCCCGCCAGACGTTTGAGGTAGGCCTTGATGGACATGAAGCCACGACTGACCACCTCATGGGGCGGGGTGCGGAGGGACGGGTTGCTGACCAGCTTCAGAGCTAAAAGGAAAAAAACACCATGTATGCCGTCAAGGCTCACACCACAATGACCTCAGTCTGCGGTGCAATAGTTATACTCTTTGCTATGAACTATGCATTTAATAGGACATGAGTTTGATGATCGCTTAAAGAAAGATATTTTTGAGAAATTTGGCTTTCTTCCTGTTGGCACCTAATACCCTACACAAACTGGGTTGGCCCTGCTAGCCAGAGTCAAAGCAGTTCACCTCTTAAATGATCTTTTAAAAAAAGAAATCTCCTATACTATCTGTACTATGATCTATGGTGAATATAACAAATCAATCATATCATAATTGCTATAGACATATCTTAAACTGTCTGAGGAGAATAGTGTGCTATAATCCTTAATGAGGAGGATTAAGGTAAAAACACCCCATTCATTTATCTTTATGGAATTTTGGTTTTAAGTGGAGCTTACATATCTGTACTTGCAAATCTTCACCTCATGATTCCGCTCACTTTTAACACAATAACGGCTACATTTCATCAAGGACAGGCTAGTTTAAACAAAGGTAATATCAAAGAAAAGTAGAAGGGCGGCTACTACAGAGTGGTCTTGTAAAACTGGTGAGGCCCTGCACACAAATAAAATTTCCACTCTTGGCACGGCTGTAAAGTATGACATTACTGAACAGAGAAAACAGACAAATAGAAAAAAAAACCCTGCTTCATTAGCACATTTGCAGCCATGTGATGAATGGAAAGTTTCCTAGTGTGTGCAGGGCCTTAGACTCAAATATGACCTATACTGTTGTGGGACCTGAGACTTAAATTTGACCTACTTTTCTGGGACCTCAGAAACTACTTTTCTGGGACCTTAGACTGAAAAGTGACCAACTTTTCGGGGACCCTAGATTTAAATTTGATCTACTTTTTGTGGATCTTAGACTCAAATTTGATCTATTTTTTTTTTGGACCTAGGCTTAAATTTCATATATTTTTGTGGACTTTAGACTCAAATTTGATCTATTTTTGTGGATCTTAGACTCTATTTTTGTAGACCTTGGACTCAAATTTGATCTATTTCTGTGGGACCTTAGACTCAAATCTGACCTATTTTTGTGGATCTTAGACTCAAATTCGATCTATTTTTGTGGGACCTTAGACTCAAATTCGATCTATTTTTGAGGGCCTCAGACTCAAATTTGATCTATTTTTGTTGACCTTAGACTCAAATTTCACCTACTTTTGAGACTGGGCAGATGGCCCAGAGAGCCGGGCAGACTCTCCAGCAGGGGGTTGTTGCAGACACTCAACAGTTTCAGGTTCTGCAGACGGCACATGTGGACGGGCACCGCCGTGATGGCCTGGAAGTCCAGGTGTAAGGTCTCCAGACTGGTCAGCAGGAAGATGACCGGTGGGATACCTCCGTACTCCGTGTCCGCTGAGGGAGCAGAAATAGAGGTTTTTGTTGAAAAAAGGAGGAGAAGCATATTGACACAAGAGAGAGAGAGAGAGAGAGAGAGAGAGAGAGAGAGAGAGATAAAGAAAAAGAAAATGAGAGACAGACGAGAGGGAGAGAAGAAAGAGAGAGATAGACAGAGAAAGAGAGAGAGAGAGAGAGAAAGAGAGAGAGAGAGAGAGAGAGAGAGAGAGAGAGAGAGAGAGATATACATTGAGAAATGGATAGAGAAAGAGAGATGGAGATGAAGGATCGCTATTGGAACTATATGGTGCTAGTGTTTTCTACATTAGCGTAAAGTGCATTGAACATTTTCTTAGCGGGAATGTGCTATTTACGACGTAAAATTTATAACTAATATTATTGTCATTAAGTATGCGGATGGACCATTACAACATTAACACTTTGTGATAGAGCAATGTCAACCAATCAATCTACCAACCTACCTAAAGATGAAATGTTGGAGACACTGATGGAAAAAAAGCACAAATGTGAGGCAGCGTGGTGAAATCACTCGTTCGTCAAAATAACGAAATCGGAGTAACAGGCATTTTTCCACCAGTTTGGACATTTTTATTGAATTTTTATTTTTTGGCTTAACCTCTTTTAAGCCCATATAAAAATACATTTCTAAGTGAATTTTTACTGAAAAACATTGATTAACGGCACAAAATATGTCATTTTTCTGTTTTCAAAGACTCTTTAGCTATTGGAATTACCAAACTTTGGCGGCTATTATCTCGCTGACTTCACCACTGAAATCAGGCAACCTCACTTCCTTCAATCGCAAATATCTTGAATTCTATTCAAGATAAGAGGAAACTTATTTCATTAGAGGCAAGGCAAATAAGTCAGCTTTCAGATGATACCAATATCTCCACATGCCCAAGAGTTGACAAGCGCTAGATTCCACCGCGTCGTGACACAAATACACACTTGAGTACCAAACAAAAGTCACTTACTGATGCAGTTGGAACCAACTCGCGGAACCTTCCAGAACAGGCTGGCGTTCAGGGCTGCTGTTTCTGTCTCGTCCAAGGTGGAGTTTTTGTTCAGATCATACTCGTGGAACATCTGTATCAGTTTCTGTGAACACAAGATGATTAAGGACATACAGAAATTTTGCTTTTTTAAAAAAAAAAATTCCTCTGCCTTGAAATTTTTTTTTACTTTACAGAGCGGATAGAAATTACTTTCAGAGATCAAAATTACTAAGTATTTTCACAAGTTTTTACTAAGTATTTTCACAAGTTTTTACGCAGTATTGTAACACGTTTTAAACCATCATAACCATCTCTCATTGCCACTAATGTCTGTGGTGTCAAATCAGTAATTGTATGGGTTCAACACCATTTCATCAGTGTAAGGATATAAGGTATGGATCCTTGAATTTAAAGCCCATATCTCTTTGGAGCGCTCATCTCAGAAGTGGAAAGTCTGGGTTTGAACCTCGGTTCGGACACAGATTTTTTTTGGTACCTGACTTCCAGTTGGGGAAGTAAAGGTGGCGTGGAAAGGAACTGGCCACCCTACCACAATATGCCGAAGGCCCAGGAAGTTGTCTCACTAACAAGGCAATCCCCAATGTCCAGATCGGATGAGGGAAAAACCTTACTTTAATTTTTATCTCTTAGGGCTGATCCACGTTGGTGTATAGCCTTGAAAAATCTACCAAACAACCCAAATTCAAGAGCGCCCCCGATCAAGGACTCAAACCAGACTCATCTGCACCATAAACCTACATGATATTAACTGAGCTAAGAGTGCACGTTGTGTGAAGGTGGTAAAGATCTTCAAATGGAATGGAAAGTTTGTGAGTTTGACTCCAATGCATGGAGGACGTACGCCTGAAAACCTCTCTCCTTTAATAATAATAAACAGCATTTGTATAGCGCATGTACCCACTCAAAAGCAAGCTTTATACGCTTTACACTATATTATTACTCCAGCAGACAATAGAACACTCGGAAACATTCTCAGCTGGTTAAGCGCTCAAACACTAACAAACTGACAAGATCTTTCACTGTCTATAGCTGGGTACCCATTACCACCTGGGTGAAGTGAGGAAAATTTGTGTAAAGTGCCTTTCCCAAGGACACAACGTCGGGCCTGCGGCTTGAACCCCCGAACTCGCAACCTCACGATTACAACACTAGGCCACCGATGCCTTTAGTTAGTATGAATCCAACAAAGAGGCCAGGTTTGCTCTAACAAGCAAAGTCAAAGCAACTAACCCTACACACTTATCTAAATCATGTAGAAAGGGCTGTAAAACATTACACATCCGTCAAAAGATACATATGTGGAACAGCATTTAACACTGACATACAGGAGCATATTAAAAAAATTGGTGTTCACTCATATTTTGCATAGTTTAGTTTTTGTAAGAGTTTTATGGTACTTGCAACATAAAAAATGTAAGTGCTGAAGATCAGAGGTGTTACTAGAGAGTGATATACAAATTTACAACCCCCCCCACTCCAAACAACAAAATTTAGATCATGTAGGAGGCAGGCTTCCCAGGATGAGAGGTATACAACATCCCAGTAGCAAGACCGAGATACTCGACAGACATTTTCTCCCCACTTGGGAATCAAACTCGGGTCTCCTGCATGCCACAGCCAACCACCTGACTGCTACATCACAGACGCTGATCCTCATTTTTTTCTTGCAATGGCAACAATACATAAAAAACCACTAACAACAAAGTTTTTTCTTTTTTTTTTTGGTAAGTGTTTTCCGGCACTCACAACTGCATAAGGTCAGAAGAGCGAGCCGGAAACATTTAACATTTTCAGTCGGTAGGAAATTTTGAATTTTGCATGGGTGGCGGCCGAAGCCTACCTACTCTTATAGATTTTGGACCATCAAGGGAACTTTAACACTTTGCAGTCACACAGCCAGCAGTTCAAAATACCCCATTTGGTTATCCAGCCAAGAGAGCGACTGCAATGGACTTCTTGGGCCTGGTGCAGAACTGCGCTAGGTGACCAGAACGGATAATTTTCACCAGTGCATTATTGTGCCAAGTGACCACAAAGTGTTAAGGTGCACAACTTGCACATGGGACTTCCGAGATTTTTCTCCCTTATCCGAGAAGGCTCCAACAAAGTTCTGCTCACCTCTCTGCCGATGTAGTACTTGAGAGGCGGGTTCTCCTTGAGGAATTCTTCAAACTGTTCTAAGGGAATCTCAACCTTGGAGCCAGCGTTCACAACCCAGGGAATACCTGATGAGAGGGTGGTTTAGTTTTATCTAGAGTATAATACTAGCACTGACATACAAACAAGACAACAATAGTAGCACAGAGAAAAGAAGTGAAAAAAAACAACAGTCAGTTTTAGTTTTAGTAGAGGTTTTACGGCGCCCGCAACTACATAAGGTCATACGAACGCCAGAAGATTAGAGGTGTTACAAGAGAGTAACAAACATAAAAAAGAAGGAGGAGAGATAAAGACGATAGTTGTTTGATAGGAAAGAAGGAACAAACCACACCAGAGCACCCGTCAACCACCCACAAACAATAGTTAACGTGAACAAGAAATAAACAAACATAACCATTTATGATGCTAACTTATGATCCGAGTAATTCACAGTCAATCTGCTTGACAAAGATTCCATTTTTAAAATACAGCCAAAAAGGTCTCAGATTGCCACCCATTTTTGCCGATTTAAGGGGCCATCTTCATCTTAGACAGATAGGCGTCTTACTCAGTGTCATTATAATGTAAAAAAAGTAAGGCCATATGAGCACCAAGGGTGGATATCAACAAAGAAGTCCAAACAAGGAATCAGACTTACTCTGCACAAAAAAATTTCCACCTACCGGAGAGAAGTAGGGTTTTCAGCTTGCTCAGTTTGGCCAGCTCCATAGGGAGTGTCTGCAGAGGGTTGAAGTTCAAATCCAGCAGTTGCAGGTTGGCCAGCTGACTCAACTGTGCAGGCAACGCCGTCAGAAGCAGCCCCGACAGGACCAGCTCCGTCAAGGGGCTGAACTCCATCACATTCGTTGGCAGACTTCGTACCTTTTTTAATTTTGCAAAGATAGAGAAAATAATTATAATACTAATAATGATAATGATAATAATAAAAATAATAATGATAATAATAATAATAATAATAATAATAATAATAATAATAATAATAATAATAATAATAATAATAATGATAATAATAATCGGCCGGTCATAAACAGATGATTGTCTTTCCACATTGAGAACATAAAAAAAAAATTAATTACAAGTTCTTGTAATATCACCAATAACAACAACAATAATAGTAGCAATGAAAATAAGCCACATTTAGACATAGTTGAAAAGAAAGTATTGTGAAAAGTTAGGATGTAATGTGTCACATGTGTAACTAGTACTTGAAGTAAATCTGTATCAACAATCAAGTCATCTCGTCAAATAAACTGTTGCAGTAAACAGTTTGTTAATATATCAAAAAGATAATAATAATAATAGGCCTAATAATGATAAAAATAATAATATTAGTAAAAATAATAATAATAATAATAATAATAATAATGATAATGATACTATTACTACCACTGGTACTGCTAAAAAAATAAATAAAATAATAATACTTTGTGAATTAATTACTGATGATATCCAATGCATCTGCAGAGGAGAATATTTCTCAAACAAAGGGAGGAGAAATAAAGGTTTAAACAACTTTGTGGCTTTTGCTGAGGCCTATGAGAACAATTCTGGCTGAGAAGAGTTTGCCACATTTTGTATTTGACCCTATCCATACGCCCTGGGGTCATTTTGTACTCCCGGGGTTGTATTCTTCAAATTTTAGAATACTTCTAGTACGAAGATCTCTTTGAAACTTTCAGTATTTCTCAAAAAATCATTTTAACAGACTACTATGCAAAGCCTACGGATCGGATTAACGAGTAAATTTCCTCTTTGGAAAGTGGTGGTACAGCGTTCCCCACATCGTATGAATACGATAGTAAAATATGACGTACGTATAGGGTTAAAATCTCCCATTTCCAACAGCAGCAACAATAATAACAAAATAACAACAGAAACATCAACAAAAGCAATAACAACAAAAGCATTAACAAAAGCAATAACAACAGAAACATCAACAAAAGCGATAACAATAACAACAGCAATGACATCAGAAACGTTAAAAAACCCCCCAGCAAAAGCAATAACAACAACAACACCAACAGCAGCACCCGCAACAACAGCAACAACTGCAGTAACAACAGCAGCAACTGCAATAACAACAGCAGCACCCCCAACAACATCAACAACCGCCATAAGAAAAGCAGCAGCGATGCCGAACTCACTGGCAGCCTTCTGCAATGAAGCCTCTGCAGCGCGGGCATGCGGAACAGGTCCGGGGGCAGGTTCTGAATGCCGCTGTCCTTGAAGGAAACCATGCGCAGGTTGGTGCAGTCTGAGATCCCGGCCGGGAGAACGCTGAGCATCTCGCAGTGCTGGAGACGGAGGTACTGAAGGTTGGGCAACTGTTGGAAGAAGTCTTTGGGCACGTCCGGCAGCTGGGGCAGCTCGTTGAACAAAACCTTGATGGATTCCTCGTACGGGGAGAAGAACTCTTTTCTGAGGAGAGATTACAAAAAGAAAAAAAAGAAAAAAGAAATCAGTCTGTGATTATAATATTAGTTGTAAATGTTTAGAGGAACCCCAACAGGAAGCTATAGAGGCACAATAAGGGATGAGGCAATCAACCAAGGCCTGGATTTGCCGAAATTGGAGGACGTGGCCATGGACTGACAAGCGTGGCGTCGACTGCTCTCTGCCTTATATACCTGATGGTATAGGGAGAGAGTAAGACAGTAAGTAAACGTTTAGCACTGTATTTATTTATTTTCTCTCTCCTTGCACCATCAGGTATACAAAGAAGAGAGCAGTCGACGCAAGGATTGTCCATTCCAGGCCATTTCCTCTAACCTTGGCACATTCTTTATAAATTTAATCCAGGTCGAAGGTGACTGCCTCATTCCTGATCCTACTTTTTTTTCCCTCTATGATTTTATTTTTAATGCTCTCATGCTGGTTTGACCAACGAGTAGTGCTGAGTAAAAAGAACAGACCAAATCTAGTATTTGATCTTTAAAATCTTTTGATTTTTATTAAATGGACTAACTATTCATCAGTTGTACAATAATAGCATTTACGGGTAATATCTACGAGCACATGCTCTCATTTCGGCACTATTTATTACATATTCGTTGTTATCTAAGCACTATTCTTTATGTATATGGTATAAATGTCTGATAGTTCTTTGCACTCCTTTTCATTATGACTTTAATTTCCTTCAGTACTTTACCTCACTTTTTGGCACTATTTATCACATACCAGCTTTCATTTTTAGTTTAGCACTATTTATTACATATTCGTTGTTATCTAAGCACTATTCTTTATGTATATGGTATAAATGTCTGATAGTTCTTTGCACTCCTTTTCATTATGACTTTAATTTCCTTCAGTACTTTACCTCACTTTTTGGCACTATTTATTACATACCAGCTTTCGTTTTTAGTTTAGCACTATTTATCACATACCAGCTTTCGTTTTTAGTTTAGCACTATTTATCACATACCAGCTTTCATTTTTAGTTTAGCACTATTTATTACATATTCGTTGTTATCTAAGCACTATTCTTTATG